TATATATATATATATATATATAATATATATATATAATATCGTATGAAGGCAGGAATTAAACGATACCAACCACGTTTACATGAAAACGACAAATTACCGTAAATCGTAGACGCACGAAATGCGCAAATAAATGGTGTTTGCACTCGGGTGATAGACCAGCGCATCAAGTTCAGTCGCGGAACACAACAGTCTAAGATCAACAATACATAACACACATATCTCGCACTATATAGAGTGGGTTCTAAAAACTATATAATCCACGCGCATGCAACTCACAATGCTATCCATGCTGTGCCGTCTGGTGGTCTCTCTCGGCACAGTAGCAATCTTGGGTGGTGCAGAAGGCAGAGGCTTCAACTGAACATGCGACATGTGCACACCCTTTGGCGGCTTTGCTGACTCCTTTTCTTTCTGCGACGCTCTTGACACCTTCTCTCTGCTGCCCGTCCCGGTATCCCCATCACTCGTACCGCTACGCGTGCCCGGAATATACATTGTGCGGCGAGAGTCTCCATAGGCAGATTGCGACAGTCTATCGATCTGGTTGCTTGACTGTGCTTCGGCCTCGGCCTCGCTCGTGTGCTGTGAGTTGGCCGTGATTCGGTGGGCGCGTTAGATTTCCATACAAACATGTATGTACACATATATACCTACCTACATACATATGCACATACATGTACATACACACCAGCGTAAGAAGAAACATCATGCACATACACATAAATCTTTGTGCGTGTTAAGGTACGAAGGCATGCAGCTGGACCGGAGTGTGAAAGAATTTCAAGTACAAAATCACACAAAACGAGACTATACTACTTCAACGTCATGCCGACACCCAGATATAAACGTACTTGTAGACGTACAATCACTTATCAAATACTTGTACAAGTACATACACCTACCACATACTTGTATACGTACACACACCGGTCACATACTTGTATACGTACACTCATTGCACACACATACGCACACTCGCATACTGTGGTTTTTTGCCTCTTCCTGCTCTCTTCTTCCTGTGGCGGTGCTTGTCGGCGGGTGGTACTGATGGGACTCCTTGTTAAGAGGTCTTTCTGGAATACTGTGAACGCATTTAAAATAGAATAAGACGTACAAGCATATAAGCCGATGGGCGTGTGTGCACCAGTAGCAATGTAGAATTACTATTCGTGCATACTCAGCTAAACATAAGTCATTTTTTGCAGATGTGTGTTGTCAGGGCCGGTCTTGCAGTTGAAACATCCACTCATGCCGATGTGACAGAAACTTACTATACGTATGCATACTCGCACAATACAAGCACCAGTGGTAAGTATGCAAACCACCGTATATCTCGGCGGCAGCAAAGAAATGAATTCTGTGATTGCATGTAGAAAACACACCCTCATGTGGGCGTTGCCTGGCTGGCGTAACTAGACGTGACACTACAGATGTGCAGCTTTCGGGTAGCCTGAGGCTTTATGACATTATGATGGGTAGAAAGAAGGGTATGGTGTGATATATAAAGTCAAGATATTACTGTTGCATGTCTACACTGTGTATTTGGGGTTTTATGTAATGGAGTGTCAGGGGCGCCTGACATGTCATCTAGAAACCCTTGCACGACATCAAGGTAGCTGACGGGATAAACACACCCGTGTTGAATGCATCCAGTAGGTTCAACGTACACACACACCCATCGTATGCAGAAATCGAATGGGTTCATGCACAGGTATGTGTTTCTTCTATCACTCATTCGCGAACATCACACACAGGCACTCACATTGCACACTCACTCACAGAGTACCTATAGTTACACCTATATTAGGACTACCCACGCCCAAGGCTCACATGCACACATCCGTGCAGATCTATACAGCCATATCACAGATGTACATACCCATATCTTACATATACGCCCCCCCCTTTAGATATCCATGCAACACACTGACATGCAAAGTCACTCAAATCACATCTACATACACCCTTCATATCACAAATCCGAGCAACTACAGTACTCGTACATACATCCTCCATAGCCACACAGACACCCATCATACACAAACATGCACCCATTTTACACACACAAACATTCACTTTTGCAACACAAACACCCGCCATACACAAACCTACACCTATAATACACACATACACGCCGCTAGCCATACAGACACCCAGTCCCGCCCTACTAACTTACTCGCAGAGGGTGGTTCGTCCTCGTCGTCTTCCCCAGAATCCTCATTGCTCTTCTCTACAGGCATTCGCGCGGTCTCCTCACCTCGTGCGGGTTCTTGGCGAATTTGGGTGGCCCGTTGATTGGTTTTCATTGGCGGAGGGGGTGTGGATGTTGTGGGAGTTGTGGTAAAGTTGTTCCGCTTCTGACGCGCAATTTTCGATGGCGGTGGCGGAGGTGACGGCGTCTGATGTGAGTACGCGACAATAGAGAGGATGAGAAACTTGGTGAGCGTGACTGCCACGCATAATATATCAATCAGCACACGCACACACACACACACACATATATATATATATATATATATATATGTGTGTGTGTGTGTGTGTGTGTGTATGTATGTATGTATGTATGTATGTATGTATGTATATATATATG